ATACCTTTGTGACTAGTTCCCCACTTTAAATTCTTTTCATCGAACTCCCCAGCCCGGGTTCTGTTTTCCTGACTGATACAAACCTCGTGACTTTCCCACGTCCATCCACGCCTCTCCACTCCACTCTTGCGATCTTAGTTTAGGACCTTCTGGATGTCTGCAGGAAGCTCCTAATTGGGTCGCTCATCCCCCTTGAGCATACACGGAGCATCTCGTCTGCCGGTGCACCTACGAGGTGCTGGAGATGCACAAAACAAACGGTGCACAAAACAAAACGTGTCCTGTATTACCCCAATCCATTCCCCACACAGCTCTCAGAGTACTTTTTCTAAAATTTGAACTTTATCACATCAGGCCCTGACCTAAAACCTTGTGAGGACCTTCAGATAAACTCCAACCACTGCGGTATGGAAAAGTGGGCCCCCCTTCCTGGCTTCACCTCCCCTCCCGGCCTCACCTTTCTCATCTCCTCACCTCTGCCCTGCCCAGGCCAGCTCCCGGTAGGGCCCTAACTACATCATGCCAGTTCACACCTCTATACTTTCACCCGCGCGCTGTTCCTTCCCGTTGGCATTCTTCCCCTCCCCCTGCCAACCTGATGAGTTCCGATCCATCCTTCAAAGCACCACCCAGATTTGCCCAGCACCGCAGGAAGATTTAAGTGTCATCCAGGTGCAACGGAGTCCTCTTTCTGTCATGGCGCTTTCCACTCAGCCACGTGCAGAGGACAGGGGCCATGTCTTATTCAGCTCGGTATCTCTAGTCCCCAGCCCAGTGTCCGTTACGAAGGAGGGGCTTAGTAAGTGTCAAGCAAATAAGCATACTCAAGAGTAGAGGGTCACTCCCAGGGAGGGCCTGAGATGAGGGCTGGGGAGCGAGTACAGGCATTTGGGCAGAGACACGGGCCGGAGAACAGGGAGAGGATTTCAGAGTCGAATGTCCAGCCCTGGAAGGTCTTAGAATGTGGATTGTTGGAGAAGCGAGAGACTTAAGCTTTGGGGGCCTTCAACCTGGGTTCCTGAGAGAATGGACGTGTATTCTCGGCAGGGCCTGAGATCAGGTCAGCCAAGGGGACAAGTAAGCTAAAATTGTCTTGATTTCATTGCTGGGCCTTTCCCTGCTGGCAAAGTCTGGACTGAACTTCCATCAGACTTTTTAGATACTGATTTGAAGAACCAAGTTGCTCTTTATGGGCCTCCTATGAAATGGGAATAGTAAAGGCCAGCTTTTCCTCCCCACAAGGAGCTTATGGAAGCAAACAGGTACAAATATGGAAAAAGTACTTCTCAATTATCTACCCATACACAAATGTGATTATCAGATATGGGTATGCCTCGATTTTGAACTATGTTCTTTTAGTCAGCAAATATTTGTGACAGGCTTGCCATATGTCAGAGTTGAAAAAAGTCCTCTACTATGAAAAGCTAAATTGACAAATACAAATATGTAAGTAAATAGGATGTTAATCGAGAA